TTGGCCAAATACAATATTTTATTAAATATATATTTAATATTAATAATAATGAATTTAAACATTATCTAGCATTTGTACTCTAATATAAACCTGCATTTAATAGTTCTACAAGATTCTAGTTTGGAATAAATGAGAAAGTAAAACAATTATGCAATATTGAACTTTGAACTAAAGACTTTTTCTGATTAGTTGTGATTGTTTAATACTAGTTCATCAAATTTTGAACTGATTTGTATCTGGACCTTATAAACTAGCATATAAAAAAGATTTAAAAGAATATATTTCTGTTATGTCAATTAATAGAAAAATTTATATGTAATTTGTATACATAAAATTGTCAAATTTATATCAAATTTTAGTAATTTTAGTTTTGTATATATTTAATTAAATAGTATATAATTGGTTTGATCTGCCACTTAATGATCTCAATTTTATTAAAATTCAGAAGTTGAATTTAAATCAAAATTTTGAACCAATTATATTAAAATTTGACAGTTGAATTTATGTCAAAATTTTGATAAACTTTCTATATTCACAGCACCAGTAATATTTATTGCTATTATTTCATTCTTTGACAATTAAATAACCCAGGTATTTATTTTGTCTTTTTCTTTTTGAAATCATATGACTTCACAAATTTCTTCTATTTTTTTTCATTTTTTTTTATATAGTAAAATATAAATAACAGAATAAAAATAATGAAATAAAAAACTGTAAAATGAATAATTATAAAAAGAAAGAAATATTGATCATATAAGATAAAACAGGATGAGTATTATGAGTATTATTGAATATACAAAATGAGTAAAAATATTGTTAAGTTTATATAATTTTTTACATGATAGTTGTTATTTAATATATTTTGATCACAAAATTTTTCTAAATTATTATTAATTTATCGATTAGTTGCTAACTTAACAAACTTCTCAATTATGCTATAGTGCCCTCTATAATTATTACTTAGACAGGTACAATTTGATAAATTGAATAGTTTATTCAATAGTACCTAAAGTACTATAATCAGTGGTATATAATAATTGTTTAGTATACTATATCAATACTAATATTAAATTAATATATTTCTGGTTAGAGATTAAGAACCACACAAAATAAGTTTAACTATATATTATAGAATTAATTATATTAATCACTTAACTATAAGTTGAACCAACTTTTGAAATTATTATAATTAGATGCAAACTTCTGCAATAAGTCTTTTCTACAAATGATAAAATGCTAACATAATATTTTGGTCCTATAAGTATATAAACTTACTTTTAAATTATTTTGTGTTTATGCCAATATTTTAATTTTCACTTTCTATAATGATAAACATGACTATATATATTCATAATTTACATAATGCATTTCAGTTAATCACATTGCTAAAAATCTATTACCATTCTTTTGAACATTAACTAAACTATTAAAAGGAATCTATTCGATTATATCTTTATATTTTATAGCTTTAAGTTAAAATTATTTAATGCAATTGTCAATATCCTTATTTTCATTTGTCTATTCTTGTATTGTCTTCTGAAGTAGTAATCCAAATTATTAGTTGAAAAATCAATTAGTTGACAACTTTTCAACTAGTTGATTTGAAAAATTTTAAAAACAACTAAACAACTGAATTATTAATTAATTCAATTATAAGACATTCTGTCTGTTTGGGCTAACTTATACTAATTTCTTTTATTTGATTAGCTAATTAACAAATTTAGTCACATGATACAAAAGTTGATTAGTTGCAACTATAGTTGACAACTAGTTAATTGGCAAAATTTTTACCAACTTGAAACACTATTCTAAAGATATATGTTTTATACCAAGCATAAGATGTATTATATTGCTTGCAATTTGCATATATCTTTATGTTCAAAAAATTTTAAGCTGCTAGCCAAAAGAATATAGGTTGTAGTATCTCAAAAATTCACTATATATCTAATATTACAATTGTGTTTTATAAGTAAAATTTCATTTTAAAAACTTTTACTTAGAGGTCAAAAGTTAGTTATTATAGTAAATTTTTGTGTTATTTATATTTTTTTACAATTTTTTATGTTTTTTGCATTTGTTTTATTATACAAGTCCTGTGATTTTATTGGATCCAGATAGGGTCAGAAGTGATCTTCAGTCTGGAATTTTCTGGACATAAGGGTACTCACAATTTGCACATGTTCCATTATATTTATTTCTTTTAGAATCAAATTCATCAAATACTAATATATATTTATTTTTAATGATTTATTAGCAAATTAAAAAAGACTGTTAAGTGACTTAATGATCTTTTTTAATATTTTAATAAATTATTAAAAGATTGTTAAGTGACTTAATGATCTTTTTAAATCTTTTAATAAATCATTAAAAGATAATTAAGTTACTTAATGAATCTTGAAAAGATTGAAAAAATCATTAAGTCACTTAATGGTCTTTTAATAAATCTTTATAAGATTGAAAAAAATCATTAAGTCACTTAATGGTCTTTAATAAATCATTAAAAGATTAAAAAAAATTGTTAAGTCACTTAACAGTCTTTTAATGATTCATTAAAAGATTAAAAAAGATTGTTAAGTCACTTAACAGTCTTTTAATGAATTATTAAAAGATTAAAAAGATTGTTAAGTCATTTAACAGTCTTTTAATGAATCATTAAAAGATTAAAAAAGATCATTAAGTCATTTAACAGTCTTTTAATGAATTATTAAAAGATTAAAAAAGATCGTTAAGTCACTTAATAGTCTTTTAATGAATTATTAAAAAATTAAAAAGATTATTAAATCACTTAATGGTCTTTTAATGAATTATTAAAACATTAAAAAAAATTGTTAAGTTACTTAACAGTCTTTTAATGAATCATTAAAACATTAAAAAAGATTATTAAGTTACTTAATGGTCTTTTAATGAATCATTAAAAGATTACAAAATATCATTAAGTCACTTAAAAGTCTTTTAATAAATTATTAAAAGATTAAAAAAGATCATTAAATCACTTAATAGTTTTTTAATGATTCATTAAAAGATTGAAAAGATCATTAAATTATTTAATGATCTTTCATAGTTCATATATATTTAAAAATTATTGCTTAATAATCAGTAAATATATATGAACCATAAAAAATTATTAGTATTTATAGTCGATCAAATTTATCAACTTGACTAAGTCAATGTTTAAAAATCAGCTTAGCTGGCTATGTCAGAGTCAATTAAACTTCAAAAGGTTCAGATATTTTTTTTATTATAATCAATATAAAGTCAAAAAAATCAATTTTTTAAAAACTCAGCATAGCAGGCTAAGATTGATTTTTTTAAAAAAATTAGCTGACTAAGTCAGCTAAGCTGATTTATTGACTAATGCAAAATAGACTATAAATACTAATTTACTATTAATAAAGATAAATTAACTAGTAAGATATGATCTATATACATGTTTTAATTGTTAAGTTACTTAATGATCTTTAGTGTTTGTAGTTGATTTTGTATTAGTTGATAAAATCAGCTTAGCCAGCTTAGTCAGCTGATTTTTTTAAAAAAATCAACCTTAGTCTGCTAAGCTAAGTTTTCAAAAAAATTGACTTAGTCAAGTCGATTTTATAATAGGTTATATTAAAAATTATAGTAACTAATTAAGTTTAGACCAAATCACAGTATTTTTGGCATTATAGTAATCTGATAATACTGAAATAAAAAACTTATCAACAATCAACAATTATTTGGCTAATTTTTTTATCAGATGAAAACAATTTTAAGATCAAGTGCTTTTAATTAACCAATTAGGATTATCAACTTCAACTTAGTCAGCTAAGCCAATTTTTAAATATTGACTAAGTCAAGTTGATAAATTTAGATTAACTACAAACACTTATCTGTAACAATTAATAGTATTCTGGCTTATTGAGGTTTTTTTCTAGATTGTGTTAATGATAATTCATACTGCCACTTGATTGATGCTTATACAGCTAATCAGTAGCAATATGAATTATCTTAACATCTATTATTATAAATTCTGGGATATCTGCATATTATCTAAAATCTTTTTAATTGTTCAGTAATTTACCTAACTTTGAAAATTACTACATCCAGACTGAAGAGTTAAGTAATTTACTTAGTGACCAAAAAGATTTTAGGTAATGAGCAAATGTCCCAGAATTTATAATAATAGCTATAATGCAATCTAAAAAAAAACCTACTAATTCCTAATAAGCCAGAATATTATTATTACTTATTATCTATTACTTTAATTTATTACTAATTATTTGTTATGCCAATTCAATTCAATTTATTTAATTACAATTATATGAAATATATATTAATATTGTTTTCTAATTTGATTAACCCTTTTATATTTTACATGTTCAACAATTCTTTTAATATCATCATTACTGTATTCTGAAAGATGATTTGCTATAAAACATCTGGCTTGGTCAATTGCTCCAATGCCAACTTCACTAAATATATTAAATATATTTCATGTCTTATGCATTATCTAATAAAGATTGCCTATTGTTATTTAATGACTTATATAAGGTAACATTGTGTTGTATATTTGTATATGAGCTGCTTTATTCTTTATGCTCTCACTTATTAATTCTCTTACTCGATTCTCAAAAACTTCAGCATAATCATACTATTTTCTAATTTTTATTGAATTAGACTTTTTTGATTGCTTTTCAGCTTGTTTTGCAATATTAAATAAATTAACTAAAATTTGACCTGTTGGTTTATAGACTTCAACTGAGCTATCTTCTGTCCCTTTAGGAGTAATTAGAACTTTGACAACTTCTGTTATTTTTTTGGTACTTTTGACCTACATGGCCTTTTTGATAATGTCAATAGAGGTTTTAATACATTATTTGCAGGCTTATTTTTTTAAATCAATATTAATTTTTAATATAATTTTCATAATATGAATATTATATAACACTGTATAATAAATTTTATTAATGCTAACCTGTTCATTAGTTTGTTTTTTGACTTGTACTTGCTTGCTATGCACTTGCCTACCTTGTACTTGCCTACCATTTGCTTGCCCATCTTGTTCTTGCCTACCATTCACTTGCCCACCTTGTGCTTGCCCATTTTGTGCTTGCCCATCATGCACTTGCCCACCTTGTGCTTGCCCACCTTGTGCTTGCCTGCTTTGTGCTTGCCTATCATATGCTTGACCACCTTGTGCTTGCCAATCTTGTGCTTGCCCACTTTGTGCTTGCCCACTTTGTACTTGCCTACTTTATGCTTGCCTGCTTTGTGCTTGCCTGCTTTGTGCTTGCCTGCTTTGTACTTGCCAATTTTGTACTTGTTTGTTCTGTGCTTGTCCACACACTTGCACTTGTAGTTCATTGACTTGTGCTTGTTCATTAATTTGCTCTTGTTCATTATCATCTTGTACTTGTAGTTCATTAAATTGCATCTGTTCATCGAATTGCACCTGTTCATCAGCTTGTGCTTGTCATTCATCAGTTTGTGCTTGTAGTTCATCAGCTTGTGCTTGTAGTTTATCAGCTTGTACTTGTAGTTTATCAGCTTGTACTTAAAAAGATGATATGTTTAATATTTTTTCAAGACAATGTGGAATTGACATTTCAATATATCGATTTGGTGTTTCATAGTCTTTATATTTGCAAGGACAACAATTATATTTCATAATACACTTCCAG